AAAGATGTTGTATAAGGAGTTGTTGTATAAAAAAAATGAAAAGGAGACGACGAAATGGAAGTCTAGCAGAAATTGAGAGAGTTTGAGATTACGGTTAGTTTAAGTTTAGTTTAATATGTTTATTATGCACTCACCCATTACTCATTACTCATTACAGAGGTACATAATGGGTCCAGGGACTGGACCCCAAAGTTATGATAGAGCAAGTTAGAAAGGTAATGAACTCCAGGTAGATTTGGTCACAATCATGACAAATTACAAAGGTATTTACAGATTACAGAGGTACACCTGCTACAAGTATTAGCAACAAAAGGATGTCCCTGTGCTTAGGGGTAGGTGAGGTTCACCACCTTCACATGCTTTCTCTCTCTCTCTCTCTCTCTCTCTCTCTCCTCTCTCTCTCTCTCTCTCTCTCCTCTCCCTCCTCCCCCTCCCCTCCCCTACCCCCTCTCCCCCTACCCCTCTCCCCCTCCCCCTCTCCCCCTACCCCCTACATCGTGATGCGGAATCCCACCGTCACTTTCCCCACATCAAGGGTAATACCCTTTTCCACGCATACCGTATATTTTTCCGTTTACGTTTGTTGAGAAGACGTGGGTGGAGGGGGGGGTGGAATCTCACACAGGCTTAATCCTGAAAAGTTAGCTCGGTAACCGTAGTTCATGATATGATCCGATGCATACCTCAGTCAATACTTTTATTTTATTAAACAGTTGGGAGCGTGTCAAGAGGGAGGGAGGGAAGGAAGTAAGAGAAAAGGGTAGAAGGAGGGAAAGGTTGCTCGGGAAGGACAGGAGTGACTGTTAACTGAAGTGGAGATGTTTACCATGCATAAAATATTAATGAAACACCGCGTTCTGGAACAGTTCACAAGACGCGGGTCGGGAACAGTCACAACACGGGAGGAGAGGAAAAGGGGGGGGGGGACGGAAGGGTCACAACCGCGTCGTGACAGTTCACAACCGCGTCTGGAAGTTCACAACACCGCGTCAGGAACATTTCACAACACCGCGTCTGGAACAGTTCACAACACCGCGTCTGGAACAGTTCACAACACCGCGTCTGGAACAGTTCACAACACATCTCTACTTTAGCAAGGTAACTTTAGACAACAATTCGGTCCTTTCTGAACCGGTAACGAACCACGATAGATGATGACGTGTACAAAACCAAACACGGAAAGAAACATCCGAGAAACGAGACAAAGAATTTGTAAAGCGAAGGACAAGTGACACACACTGCAGTGTCCGGAAACATTCTCGGCTAAAATTAACATTCACTGTATAAACGTGTTTTGGACACGATAGTTACAAGACCTTGACACGATGGTAGCGCCAGGATGAGGATGAAAATTTGCATGTTAAGTAATTACTTGTTGATTACCTTCCAGAGTTTCGTAAGAACATCGACTTATTTCTTGTGTAGCATTGATAATGGGTCGGGTAGATATTTTTGTTATTGGTTTTGAGAAAGACTTGCCCAGTATAGGCCAGTAGGCCTACTGAAGTGTTCCTCCATTCTTAAGTTGTTTTTAGACACAGGTGCAGCATTTGGGACTGATTACCTAGTACTACTCGTCTTACACAGCTCATCTCTGTTTTGGACCGAAGAAGCCACTGGCTAACGAAACGTTTCCTCAGTAAAGATTCTCAGATGCTGCACAAGTTTTATTCTTCATTTTGTCGGTTTTCTAGGCCATATTTGCATCACATTGTAAGTTGAACTCGAATCATTACTGCTTCAGTACATTTTTCTTTCCTCGACAGCAGGTAAGAAACTACGACAATGTAGTTGAAGACTAGTGAAAAAAATTGCCTGGTAGTGGTCGATGCTCACTCGTTGTGTAGCTTTAAAAATATGGGCCAAATATACAAGTGGGAATGACTAGGTTAAGTTAGAACCTGCCTAACATGGCTCAGTAGTACATCAGTGGGTTACATCAGTCCCATAGGTGAGGGACTGATTACCTCATCCTTTGTATATAATTCTATTGTCTTCCAGTTATGTCTTTGAATTTGTATTGATAAAGCCACTGGATGGTGAAACGTCTACAGTAAAGATACTCAGATGTTGCACATGTGTCTAATTTTCACCAAGGATCAATAGGTCTATTGCGGCGCTCATCTATTATTTTAAACATCAAACTAGGCCTATCCAAGACATTAGCCTAAATTAGGCCCTTATAACTACTAGCCTCAACTAGTTCAACCATAACTACGTTTTAACCTAAACTACCCCGTCTTAACTATTACTCAAAACAAGATCCATCACAACTCTGTAAAATGACTTTTCAATTTCGAGAGACTAATAGAAAGCCAGTAAGTGGTCACCTTAAAGTATTCAGGAAAATTAACACAAACTAAACAAAAGTAGTCTGTTAATAGGAGCTAAGGTGGCATTATTTTCAATACGTGATCACGTATTCCGTCGCCTCCCCGAGTTATTCTGGGCAGTGGCCGACCTTTTGGGAGACGAGTGAGGATGTTATTGAACACCAGCTAGTGAGTACCATGACGCATCTGTGAATATCAAAATGGTACATAGTGCCGACAGGTTGGTAGGTAAGACACACAGGCAACAGTTAGGCAACTTAATTCCTGAAGGTTTCGCCTGCACAGAAGGCTTCTTCAGTCACTTGATCTTCAGATTGTTTCAGACTATGGAACAGAGCTCTTCTCCAGGCTGAGGGACTGACAACCTCAGATCTACGACTTCAAGGGTGATGGACTGATTACATCGTCTTCACATCTCTGACGCATTTGTACAAAGATGAGAATAAGCTAATTCTCATCCCTGCAATGGATCTGGGAAACCTTCCCCTTCCCAAGACGAGTGTGTAAGAACATGGGAGAGCCCGGGTTTCATTTCCTATTCTCGCTGTGGTTTTTTTCATATTTGTAATCACGGATTTTATTGTGATTTTTTCCATACCTAATAAAACTGTAGAAGCCTCTTGATGAAATGTCTCCTCTAATAAATGACCTGAACGGTTTATAAATGTCTTTTCACATATTCCTAATAAATGTTTAATTCCTTATCTTGTCAGTAACGAATGCCATTACTGTAAGGTCCTGTGGCTCATGCTAGTCGGGTTCTAGTGGCTCATGCTAGTCGGGTTCTAGTGGCTCATGCTAGTCGGGTTCTAGTGGCTCATGCTAGTCGGGTTCTAGTGGCTCATGCTAGTCGGGTCCTAGTGGCTCATGCTAGTTGGTCCTAGTGGCTCATGCTAGTCGGGTCCTAATGGCCCATGCTAGGCGGGTTCTAGCGACCTATGCTAGTCGGGTCCTAGTGGCCCATGCTAGGCGGGTTCTAGCGACCTATGCTAGGTGGGTTCTAGTGGCTCATGCTAGGCGGGTCCTAGTGTCCCATGCTAGGCGGGTCCTAGTGGCCCATGCTAGGCGGGTTCTAGTGGCCCATTTTAGGCGGGTCCTAATCGCCCATGCTAGGTGGGTTCTAGTGGCCCAAGCTAGGCGGGTCCTAGTGGCCCATGCTAGGTAGGTCCTAGTGGCCCATGTTGGTCGGGTCCTAGTGGCCCATGTTGGTCGGGTCCTAGTGGCCCATGCTAGTCGGGTCCTAGTGGCCCATGATATGCGGGTCCTAGTGGCCCATGATAGGCGGGTCCTAGTGGCCCATGCTAAGTGGGTTCTAGTGGCCCATGCTAGTCGGGTCCTAGTGTCTCATGCTAGTCGGGTCCTAGTCTCATGCTAGTCGGGTCCTAGTGTCTCATGCTAGTCGGGTCCTGGTATCTCATGCTAGGTGGGTCCTAGTGGCCCATGCTAGTCAGGTCCTAGTGGCCCATGCTAGTCAGGTCCTAGTGGCCCATGCTAGGTGGGTCCTAGTGGCCCATGCTAGTCAGGTCCTAGTGACCCATGCTAGTCGGGTCCTAGCGGCCCATGCTAGGCGGGTTCTAGTGGCCCATGCTAGGCGGGTTCTAGTGGCCCATGCTAGGCGGGTCCTAGTGACTCATGCTAGGCGGGTCCTAGTGACCCATGGTAGGCGGGTGCTGTTCACACCCAAGGTGAGTGAATAGGGTTGCCCTAGTGCTGGGGAAGAGCTTCAGTTCCGAGAGATTGGAGTTATTCTCCCCTTTGATCAAATATAGTTACCTCCCTTGCGGGTTTACCTGTTTCCGGTGATAATTGTATTGGATCAGTATAAATTCTACCTATATTGTACACTATACCAGCAGTGTATATACACATTAGCAGTGAATATGCGATGTATATACACAGGAGTGTTTGTATCCCTCACCGTAAAATATTAATTTCTGAAGGGGTAAAGAGGTAAGCCAGTGGAAGGTCTCGGTCAGATGACCAAAATTAACAGTGGCGAGTCATCACTGGCACTTCTAATACAACCCCCTCACTGGAGCCTCTACAACCCCTCCCCCCTTTCACTAGAACTTTCACAACCCCTCACTGGAACGTCTACAACCCCCCCCCCCTCACTGGAGCAGCATTTCCATTCTATTCTGAAAGAATAGAATGAAAATTTGATAAACATTTAAGAGGAAGTCAGGAAGTCTACAGCAGGCCTACTGGCCATGCTTGTCAGGTCCTTGTCAACCCAAATCAACTAACAAAAATATTCGCCTAACCCATTATTATGTTACCCAATGAATAAACTTTAATAGCCGTACTGAGTGTCCCTCAAATCCAACCCTTCTCATTTGTATATTTATCTAATAATCCATATTCTTGGAGTGATTAACCAAAAGTTAAATGTCACAGAAAGTCTTTGCGTAGAGAATTCTTTGAGAATTTTTTCCGCGCGCTAGGAAAGCGGAAATGATATAGAATTCAGTTATTATGGCTTGTCACTTTAGTTATAACCCCCAAGAGTTACGTTATGAGAAGTCTTGTTTTAAATCTGGATTTGTAAAGAGTTAATGTTGTAGTTACGTATACAGAAGAAAAAACAGTGGGTACAGGCGGTAAACCTAAGAAGATAGTTTCCTCGAAACTCGTTCACTGAAGGACTAAACTGTCATCAATACTCACCAGACGTTGAAATGCCGGTGATTTCAAGTAGTTTTTAAAAGACTATACTGCGTCCTGGAAGCAGCAGTCACTGCGACGGTAGGAGAGTTAATCAGAGTGTAGCGCACACGCGCGACGCACACAAACGCGCTCGTACAGGAGATCCGTACTGTTTACCGCTTGGGCCGGGAGTGCACTGAAAGATGGACCGCACGCATCTTATATACGTGGGTTCCATTGACGTCTGGCCCGGTGAGAGGACGGCCCACTTGCCTGGCTGACTTGACTCAGCCAATGATAGCCTGGCGGGGGTTGCCCAGGATTCCAGGAGCTGACCTTCGGACGTCACACGAACACACTTGTATCTGCTGGATATTTCTCAACCTAACACGGTAAGTCTTCACAGTGCCTTTGTTAACCGCTTATTACCGGAGGTTTATTGTCTAATTACGACTGTTTACTGTAAGAGGACAATGTAAATAGCAAGAGGACAATATAAATAGTAAGAGGACAATATTCTCTTAAAAAGTCTGTTAATTATTTTGCGAGGAGGTCGTTGTTAACTGTAAAATAAATTCCCTTAAACATTCCACGTAATTTTTTTTAAAAGTAAATATTTAAGAAATGTCTCGGTACAGTGTTGACTGGTCTACAAGCTTTATTTTCTCACAAGTATGTCGTACGAAACTATTAAACAAAATAAAACTCATCACCTTCAGAGTGTCTTGATACACACACAGGTGTCCCTCCCTCAACGCACTCTGATGCCCCACTTCGGAGACTGCATCAGGGTGATTGTGATTACGATTGGGATATCTGTCTATCTTCTTTCAAGGGAGGTTCTTGATGCCCACGAAAGGGGCTCTTGATACCCACGAAGGGGGCTCCTGATGTCCAAGCACTGTATAGCTTTCATAAGTAACATTTCACTATAAATATGATAATGCATTTTGCCAATCTCCCTGAATATATATTAAAGGAAGCGTCCTTCATCTGCTGTTGTTGAAGATTATCGTGAAGTGTTCCAGGAAGAGCTAAGCTGTGTGGGTTCTCTAGCGCAACAATCTGTGGATGGTTCGATCCTCCGTTCGCTAATCGCGACTGTTTCTTATCCGTCAGGACTGGACTTTGTCACCGAAGCGGTTAGTGTACTGTGCACCCCATATCCATTCTGTGGAGGGTAGTGAAAGAGGATATGGATGCATCGGAGGCCTAGGAACTAGGCCTCAAAAAGGGGTTTACAGGGATACATCTGGATTTATATCTACAGTTCACTTACGTTACAAGCAAATTTAGGAAATTTGCTAAATATGTCTGGTAAATTGCTTTCATTAATGAGATATATTGATATATGGAGAGCGAAACGTTGCCACAAAATGTCTTACTAATTGCGCTTGTGTCCTTATACTTAACATCTTGATATATTACTTAGGTGCCCTTTTTGATTGTAATAAAAGGTTATCACAGGTTTTGATATGGGAAAAGACACCTGTGTACAATTCACGACATTTATTAGAGGAAACATATCGCTAAGAGTGGCTTCTTCAGTCCTAATTAAAATATCACCTGTTTCCTGTGATCTTATTCTGTGGTTTGTGTGTGTATGCGCGTGTCAGCCGAGTGTTTAACGCACTGGTCTGAAGTTTTAGGACTCACCATGGGTTCAACCTCCACCCGTTCCGTGGTGTGTAAGTGCTGATGGTGAATAAGACAAGTTCTTAGAAAGGACGTACAGGAAACTTTTATTTGGGAATACGAAAGAAGACGAAGATGATTTGCCGAGGGCTAATAGAAATATTTTGAATACTCGACGATACTCTCCTAAGTGCTGTTTATATTTGTGTATTGCAGACATTCTGGATGGCTGAATCTCTTAAATTCTCGACGTCAGTCTCCTGAAATCAAATGTAATTTGACAACCAGAACTGTTAGGTCCTTATATCTCAAGTTCTGTCAAATAAGAACATAAAGGAAGAGTGCTGCAGCAGGCCTACTAGCCCATGCTAGGAAGGTCCTTCGCAAACCCAAACTCCACTAACAAAAATATTACCCAACCCATTATATATGCTACCCAAGGAATGAGCTTCGACAACCCTATTATTATTAATTATTAGTTAAATTATTATTAATTAAATAGATGGTATCGCCTTAACTCTAAACACACCAGTTACAGGCGAGACCATTTTCCTTGATGCTGTCATAGAAAGTCAGAAGGGCTCTTGAAGCTTCAAGAGGCAGAAGGATTCTTGAAGCTTCAAGAGGCAGAAGGGTTCTTGAAGCTTCAAGAGGCAGAAGGGTTCTTGAAGCTTCAAGAGGCAGAAGGGTTCTTGAAGCTTCAAGAGGCAGAAGGGTTCTTGAAGCTTCAAGAGGCAGAAGGGTTCTTGAAGCTTCAAGAGGCAAGGTTCTTGAACTTCAGAGCAAGGGTTCTTGAAGCTTCAAGAGGCAGAAGGGTTCTTGAAGCTTCAAGAGGCAGAAGGGTTCTTGAAGCTTCAAGAGGCAGAAGGGTTCTTGAAGCTTCAAGAACCGTTCCTTTCTACGGGATTGCACAAAGTAAATGGTGGAGCCTTGATCCACTCCTTTCACCATCCCACATCAGTTGTAGCGTCTGATAATTGTCACACTTGACAGCTTCACTGAATTCAGTTTGGTAATGAATATCAATTTAGCTTCACTCAGCTCTTGCAATATTCGTCACGTTAGTGAATATTTGCCTTTGTGTTCGTGTCCTTTTTTGGCCAATACAACACAAACATTTCATTCTTGATTCTTTGTAAAGGGCGTGTAATATTGCATGATTTATATCCCGGATATTTTGTTGAAGGATTTTATACGCGTATGACATTGCAAAACTTGTTGATCTTTCTTCAGTGTTTTGCAAAGTTGGGCTGAAGGCAGACAGAGAGACTTATGGTGCGTGTGTGTGTGTGTGTGTGTGCGCGCGCACACACACACACACACACACACACACACACACACATATACACACATATACACACATACATACACACACACACATACACACACACACACACACAACACACACACACACACACACACACACACACACCACGCACAACACACACCACGCACAACACACAACACACAACACACACACACCACACACCACACACACACCACACACCACACACACACACACACCACACACCACACACACACACACGTGATGAAGTGTCAAAGTGGGCGCCTGTGACAAGCGGGGTTCCACAGGGGTCAGTCCTAGGACCTGTGCTGTTCTTGGTATATGTAAATGACATAACGGAAGGGATAGACTCAGAAGTGTCCTTGTTTGCGGACGATGTGAAGTTAATGAGAAGAATCAAATCGGATGGGGATCAGGCAGGACTACAACGAGACCTGGACAGGCTACAAGCCTGGTCCAGCAACTGGCTCCTTGAGTTTAACCCCGCCAAATGCAAAGTCATGAAGATTGGGGAAGGGCAAAGAAGACCGCAGACACAATATAGTTTAGATGGCCAAAGTCTGCAAACCTCACTCAAGGAAAAAGATCTGGGGGTGAGTATAACACCGAGCATATCTCCTGAGGCGCACATCAATCAGATAACTGCTGCAGCATACGGGCGCCTGGCAAACCTACGGATAGCGTTCCGATACCTCAGTAAGGAGTCGTTCAAGACTCTGTATACCATTTACGTCAGGCCCATACTGGAGTATGCAGCACCAGTTTGGAATCCACACCTAGTCAAGCACGTCAAGAAATTAGAGAAAGTGCAAAGGTTTGCAACAAGACTAGTCCTAGAGCTACGGGGATTGTCCTACGAAGAAAGGTTGAGGGAAATCGGCCTGATGACACTGGAGGCCAGGAGGGTCAGGGAGACATGATAACGACATATAAAATACTGCGCGGAATAGACGAGGTGGACAAAGACGGGATGTTCCAGAGATGGGACACAGACACAAGAGGTCACAATTGGAAGTTGAAGACTCAGATGAATCAAAGGGATGTTAGGAAGTATTTCTTCAGTCATAGAGTAGTCAAGCCGTGGAATAGCCTAGAAAGTGAAGTAGTGGAGGGGAACCATACATAGTTTTAAGGCGAGGTATGATAAAGCTCGTGGAGCAGGGAGAGGACCTAGTAGCAATCAGTGAAGAGGCGGGGCCAGGAGCTATGACTCGACCCCTGCAACCACAAATAGGTGAGTACACACACACACACCACACACACACACCACACACACACCACACACACACACACACACACACCACACACACACACACACACACACACACACACACACACACACACACACACACCACACACACACACACACACACACACACACCACACACCACACACACACACACACACACACACACACACCCCACACACACACACACAACCACACACACACACACACACACACACACACACACCACACACACACACACACACACACACACACACACACACACACACACGTGTGTACGTGTACTCGACTTATTTATGTAGTTGCAGAGGTCGAATCACAGTTCCTGGCCCCTTCTCTTCGCTAGTCGCTATTAGTCCACTCCCTCTTAAAGCTATGTATGGACTCTTTCATGTATGGATCTAGGTCTTTCATGGATGTACATCCAACAGGTACCTGACCCGGACCAAAGTGAAGAACTTTGAACCAGTCAGTGAAGGTGGTATTTACACAATCCCTTGTAGGAGGTTGTGACATGGTATACGTTGGTGAAGCAGCACGTACCCTACAAACACGTTTCAGTGAACATATCAGTGCATGCAGAAACGACAACTTGAACAACGAATGTGTACAGCACAGAAACTTCTCCAGCCATCTTACGTGATTCAGTAACGCCGCCTAGTGATCATAGAAGCGAACTTCTGCAGGCGTATATACCTTGAATTATCTTTAATCGCTATTTCAGTGAGCTGAGGCCATCAGGCCTCAGCTCACTGTAGTGCATAAAATGTTCTGCAGTGGAACGCACAGTGGAACGCACAGTGGAACGCACAGGGACTACAGCAAGACTCTGATCGCGGCCACAGAACAGCTGAATTAGATCTACATCTTAGAGATCCTCAGACGGGTCATCTTAGGATTAAGATCCATGTCAGAGGACGCAGTTCCTGACGAATCAGTCAGTCAGTCAGTCTTGCACTGTAACAGCTTGGTAAAGCTCACCACTATTCTACTGCTA